ATATTTCTAAAATCTTTTTGGGGTTCATATTTCTTTTGGACGTAACGTTTCAAAGTTTTTCTCATCCTACAGAATCGGGCAGAAATAGAAAAGAACCTGCTTTTGGGTGGATCGCTTTTCCAAATATATTTTTTTCCGCCAGCAAAAAGAGGTAACGTATGAGGCTGAAATTGGGTGGCATGGAGTTCTCTGAGTCTCCATTTCAGACGAAATAAATTTTCCGTTAAAACCCATCAGGGAACTTCATTTCAGTCCCATTTTACTGAATTTTTTTGATCCAACTAAACGGAGACATAAAATTTAATCTTCCCTCAGAAATACCTGTTTGATTGCTGAGTTCAGGAAAATACTACTTTTGAAATGTCTCCCTAGCATAGATTATAGGAGGGAAGTATTTCAAAATGTATTCTCCACCCTTGCAAAAAGGCGCACATGGATACATTTTAAGTCAGGCACAATAGAAATGATGATTTTAATAAAAATCAAGACTTCCGACCCCATATATCACGTATTTCAATGGGGACGTACTTTAGAGAGCGAGTTTGGTTGCCCGAAGGGCAAACAAACTCGCTAGTATAAGATTACCTGGAAAGGCATAGCCTTGTAGGCCTGGCGCTTTAGGCCGTGGATGGCCTGGCCTATGACCTAGAATGGCCTAGTATCGTAGGCCTGCAGGTTGAGGGTGGCAGCCACCACCATCACAACTTTTGGCCTCTTCGAATTAAAGTATTTGTGCTGATTTTCAAATGACTCTCAAAAATTACCTTTTAACTTTAAAGGCAGTTTCAAATTGGAGGCAATGTCCATTCAAATATCCGCGCTATTCATTTGCGTTTTTCCCTATAAAACAGGAATCACATCCAACGATGTGATATGTCAGGTGCGACGAGACGAAAGTTACGTAAAATGCGTTCCTCTCTCTCAATCAGAGTAAGATTAATAATTTCCATAAATATTTAGAAACTCTGAGGAAGATGATGAGACCAATATCTAAAAAAAATTCAAGGAGAGATTTTGAGGTGAGCCTCAAAGCTCAAAGGGAGCTAGTGAGACGGGCGAAAATAGTAATGTGGCAGGCGAGGGGGAAGTGCGGGCATGCCTTTTTGAATGACGTCAATCGGTGATGTTTGAATTGTCATATGTCAATTGTCATACGATAAACCGGTTTATGTTCATGAACTGTCTAGAGTACATTTTGGTGCGACTCAGGCAGAAACTGCCCTTACTTACTTGTCAGATGACCTTGTCTATTCGTGGATTGGCGTTCATCCCTGAAGATTCATGCGATGTTGCCGAGTCTAGTAATGGGGCTGCTCAGACTTTGCATTGGCACACGAGGACTGAAGGGGATCGACCGCACTGTGTTGCGGAATTAGAATCGGCGAAGGCAATAAAGATTTTCGTCTAGTGTTTTTCATGTTAAATGGTTTTAGGTTGGATTTGAGGGAATTCATCGAGAGTCTGAGTCGCCACAAAATCAGGAAATCGTGCCCAAAGCTCTCTTCGCAAAGAGGAAGACGAGGAACAGGGAAAGCTGAAAGGAGGTCACCAGCTGGCAGAGGACGTAGATGCTGTGATTCGCGAGCTCGCTGGAAACCTGGAGGACATGATTGCGACCTGCAGAATGGTGATTCCCGGTCTTCCCCCATCCTATCGGAGGAGGAAAGGAAGGAGACCTCCTTACTGCGTTGCACTTGTCGGACCCCAGTTGCTAAGACTGGCTGCTTGGGCTCTTCTCAGTGAGTCTGTTGGACGCGGTGCGTGTGCGTCTCAAGTCTCGCGCTGTCTTTTCTGTTCTTAAATATTTACTCACTGTTCTCTCCCCAAAATATTTATTTCCTTTTGCCCCCCTTGGGGTTTTCCCGTTTCTTGTGTGTTTCTTCATCGGTGTCAGATCTCGTTTATTTTATTTTCCTGCAGATGGATCTGCGATAGTAGTTTTTTCTTCTCGCCTTCGGCTATCTATGCCTCTTCGTGAGGAAATCGGAGGGGAATTCGGATCTGTTCCCGCCCTGTTGCTACAACCTGCTACCGATCCAGTGCGCGCACGTCTGCCAAGTGCGACGTCCAGCCCAGTCGCCCCAGTCCGCCCATTTGGCCCTTCCGACCCCAGTACGGAATACCGTCTCAGAATTTCGAATGGGACGACTGATGATCCAACTCCAACCTGCGAAGTCTTCGTGGACTTCGAGGAGAAGAAACTGAAACTTTTCGAGGAGGTTTCAATTCGTCTCGATGTTGAGAATACAATAGTGACGTTTGGGGCTCTTTCACATTGTGATTTTCTTTCTTCCTCTGCTGGCAGAGTTTGGCATTCGATTTATAATTACATGGGCAGAAAATTTATTCCAGCATCATGGGCGAAAAGAAAAGCATCCGTGAGCGTGACCCTCCCTGACCATGTCTACAAAAGTGTAATATTAAAAATTTTCAATGAAATATTTTCATTGAAAATTTTCCGATTCTACATCGTAAAAATGTCCGACTAAGAGCATGTAATCCTGCATTTCCCTTAACGGTCTGGCAAATTTTCTTGCATTTCCACGGAATTCCCACTTCATGCCATTCACGAAATTTCTCCGTCCACCTCTCAAATATTGCATCGAAGGTTCTGACATCCAGAGTCCGACAACGAAAAGGAAAGCTTCTTTCCCGACACCACGGAACTCACTACATCGACTCCATCGGGAATCCACCCGACAGATTCAGTTTCCGACCCCGATCATGGAGGACGTCTCGATCGCCCCTGATAAATCCCCGAAGGGTATCCCACATCGTAATGTTATATACAACAGAGTTTGATCCCGAGGGAGAAAGCCCATTCCCATGAATTTCTCGACGGGAAATTGGGGAAACGAAGAGCATGACAGCTTCTTCTCCCTGTTACAAAAATATATCTTCTCCGTGACGATGCACGCCCGGCCTTCACAGACATCATCCACATTTCCAGGGTGCCGGTGTCATATGATATTTTCCTCCCATAATATTTTTCCCCACCTCCATTAATGGAAATGAAGGAACTTCGCCTCATTCCTCGGCGGCTATTTTTTCCGTGCCATTTAATGTTCCTTTTGCGCCTCCATCTGCTCCGCTAACGTCTAAGCCAGTGTCGACTCCTCGGGGAGATCTTGAAAGCCACATCAAAGATTCCAGGCAACGGAGGTAAAAGGCAAATGAAGACAGGGAGGAAGAAACATCTTCCTCTGCAGGAGGATGTTCTGCTATGATTTCGTTTGGCCAGTTTCTGACATGGCCAGTTTCTGACATGGCCAGTTTCTGACATGGCCAGTTTCTGACAGTAAAGATTATGTTCCCTTTTGGCAATCGACAAACTTGCAATTCTACTTCTTAAAACGAACTCCCTTCATTTCCATTAAGGGAGTAGGGAAAAACGTTCCAGGGGAAAAATATCATACGACACCGGCGCCCACGATTCAACACGTAAGTCGCTTATCCCCTCTCCACAAGGGAGAGGAAGGTTCGAGATGGATGTCGGGATCTTTTCGAGTGCAATGGGTGTTGTTCTTCGTCCCAGTGAATGCACTGCATTGTGTTGCATATACTAAGAGAACATTCGATTAAGAGTGGTGAATCCCATGGGAAAACCTGGTAAGACACGAATAACGACCCACATAAAAAGGAAAGAACGCGAGAGAATGGGAGACATGGATTCCCTCATCAGCGCACGAGACGGAAACTCTGTTTTCGTCTTTGCAATTTTACGAAATGATTTTTCCTTGACCCCGAACTCCCGGAAAGCGGTTCCGGTCTTCATCGGTGACGATCATCGCAGATCCGCACCGTCGACGCCATTTCCCTCGTTCCGAAAGAAAGAGATATTCGGCAACACTGGACGACGCATCACTGCACGGGAATAAATTTTGCGTTACGTGCACGTCTCTAACATTCAGTCCGACTCCGCCGACCGAAGTCGCAAGACCCATCCGCAGAGCAGCCGAGTCGCCACGATACACAAATCTTGTCATATTTAATGAGATATCGGAGGCTCCTGGGATCCGTGAAACATCCTTCGGTGAAATAGATACAAAAACCCTGCATTCTGGGCCGGTGTGAAGAGAAAATTTACCCGGAAAGGTAGAAAAAACCTAAATTTTCGAAAGAGGCTTCTAGGATAGTGAAATTCTAGGATTCTCATTAAAGTAAATATTAAGCTGGCTAAGAAACTTATAAATAGATTCACAATAGGAATTCTTGAAAGTCAGCCTCGTCTTCTAGTAATGCGCGTCTGCCTCGCGTCCCTTCAATATAAGCGGATTTTTCAGGTGGATCATCGAACTTTGAGGGAGAATGGTGGGAGAAAACTATGCTCAACGCCGCATAAAGATTGACCAGAATAGTCTCCAAAAATAGGAGCATGATCTTGCCAGTAAAAACATTTCTACGAGGAGGAATTTCTAATGAGAGTGAAAAAACAGAAGCCGTTGAGGGAAAAATTCTCATCTTTGGCGTCAGGCGTCGCGAGACCGACAGTTGCAAGCATAAGTTTTAATTCTCATTATGTTCTGCATGTCAACCAAGGAAAATGGTGCAAGTTTGACGTTTCTGCAACCAAGGGTTGAGGAGATACAGATTTTCAATGAGAAGCATGAAAATCGTGACATTTGACCACAGATCATGGCCGCGGGCGTGACCTGAGAGAGCCATCAATGGCCTCTAAGACCTTTTCTCGAGGTTCCCTGCAACAATTATGAAGCGAAATTTCGATCCAGGGGGGTTGATTTTATGTTCCCGTAGTTCCTTAAGAGAAAGAAAATGTTATCATTCCACTGGAATGAAAACATTATTTGGAAATCTCCGTATCAGAACATATCATGTGTTATGATGAGATTTTCATCAATCAATTTTTCATCAGTTTTCCCCTTACCATGAGAGGAAGCACAGCTGCACCACAATATAATTTTCATTCCTGCTTCTACTGCATGAGGATGCTGTAAATCAAAAATAAATATAGCAAGAAATTGTTGCAATTTAATTTTCTTTTATTGAGGATTCAACATGGCCACACGATTACTGTTATACATTTGTTCGTACCGCGTTATCTCCTGTCTCACGAGCGTCTTCAACCTCTCCTCATCTCCCTTATCCATCGCTTGGAACAGATTCACAATGATGTACTTTCCTCCAAAAAATCCAACTCCAACTCCAACTCCAACCTGGAAACCTCTGCTGCTGAGCATATTTTTGATCCCTTCCGCCAGATCTTCAGCTGACTTTCCTGGATGGAACATAGAATATCAATGAAAATTTTGAAGTGAGTTCACACTATATTAAAATGAAATGTGCTAAATAATTTGGGAAGTAATGTATGCTTTTACAAAATAAGGGCAACTGTAAGAGCGACAAAATTTTACCTCGAGCTGTCAGAGACATCTCTTTAAAGTTAAAAGTAAGTCCACTCATTTTGTTGCGAAATGATGTCAGGCTCCGCTCAGTAAAGGCAAAACTCGCTGAGCAATCAACCGAATGAATGCAGACTGAACTCCTATCCAGAATGCACCGTGGTTTAAGCTGAGTAACCGAGATAGGCGGTCACATGATAAGACACCCAACTGGTCGGACTTTTTCCAATTGAAATGTAGATTCGAAATTATCATGCACAAAGGACCAGTGGAAACGTCGCTTGTACGTGTCATTTCTACGGGACGCAAAAGGTTTTCTATTGCATGACTCTCTAGTTATTCGGCTCGTAGTACGAAGTTTTCGGAATTTGTATTCAGTTTCTTGCACTTGCACATCCGTTTCCCATCAATGTGAGGAAATCTATTAAGTTATAGGTCCTTTGTATTCAACCTGAAAAGTTGCTTCCCGTTGTGCCACGTCATTGACAAACGGAGATTCTTAGGTGATGATTGATGATGATTGGCAGGTGAAAGTGCTTGTGATTGTACTCCTTCATGTTGTCCTGCACGAGATTAGTTCAAATGTTGCATTTATTTTGTAACAACATCGCTTCACAATCGCAAAATGCTTACATCCAATTTCGAATGTTACCATATTTGGCCAACTAAGGCCTCCAATAATAAGTGTTCGACTCCAAGGGAAACAATTTTTCCCACTGAATAATAGATCTCTCGACGCTCCATTGAGGCATAGTAGTTTTATTTCAACAATGGGCGAAATGGAGGTCACGAGAAAAAGTACGGGCACTCTTCTCGTGCAGTTCTGATTGCATTGCATCAGGGAAAAATGTATAAAAATTGCAGGATGTACGACTCCATTGATAATGGCTTCAATTGCCATATTTATAGTACTTTATTTGTGACAAAATTTCTAGCACGTGAAGTTTGGTACATATTGCATTTCTTTAGGGGGTCGTTTTCCTCTTATTTACAAATCAGGATCGCGTTTTTCAGTTTAATCCCGTCTCACGACTAAACCACTGCCATTTGGTAGATTACCTTAAGTAGCAAATATATCCAATGATCCGTTATCGAAAGGCACACTGATTTGTTACGAGCGAAAAACTCGGGCCATGGAGGTTGGCCGACTTCGACATGTACCGTATTTCAACCTACTTAATCGAACCCTCAGAAGCGAATAATGCGTCTTTCAACCCTATAACCGATCACACTTTCGGATATTTCAAGCCTGAGGTTAAGCATAAAGCGTGCGCGATTTTGGCTGCTAGCTAGGCCGAGCGACATTTGCGTGTTTCTGTGTGTGTGAATGTGACAGCTCTCCAATCCAAACGCTTAGAGATATGAACTTGGGGTTTCGACAGAACTCAGCCTCGTCATCCGAAGATGTGCCTTTTCGAAATTAAACTTGCAAATCGGCCATAAGAAAGGGAGGGGAGGAAATGTTCATTGGAAATCGGTGATAAGCTCTCGTCTCGCCTTCTCTCGGATGAACTTGGAATGAAGAGAAGCTGTGGATTTCGAAAGGGAGCGCTGGCATCGCTCTCTACAGTGCCGTTCGCCTGCTGCCGTGAATCCAGGGATTTCAAGGGTCCATGATGAAATACTGGGCGATTCCTCAGCTTGTCGCCACATGCGCCGACTAGGGCTTTCACAAAGTTACTCACTTTGAGTCCCCTGTACTTCTCTTGCGGTACATTCTCTTTTCCCACACACAATGAAGGGGAAGATCCTCAATTTCCTCACAGGATTTGTTTCGACAGGTTTAAATTAATAGGAGTCTCCAGGGTGACTCCTGCCAATGGTGTCCATAAATATGGTTCAAGTAGAGGCTTAATTCGATGGGGTGAGGATAATTTAAACAGTGTCCCTTCGATTGTGGAGGCTGTGTCTGGCTTCCCTTCGGGAGCGGCATATCCGGCTGTGATAAAAGTGTGGGTTCACCGAAGAGATTTAACCAGACAAGCATTTCCATTGCGGAAAGAGAGTCAGATGAGCGGTGGATGAGTTCAGCATGTGGTTCTAATTCCGCGTGGAAATTGAATGCCTCAAAAGGAGACCATTGATGGAGTGCTTGAGTACTTCCAGGCAGATCGAGAAAGACTCGATGGAAAGGTCCCCGGTTGGAGAGCTCAACAAATATTTACGAAACGATAACGACAATAACTGTACACGTTTGACTTTGTGCTGTCATAACTCTCCAACTAGATAATGTATATATGACATGTAATACCCTATTAAGATAGGGAATGCTTACTGTCTTTCATTAGATAAATGCTGCTAGTCAATTGTTTTGCTTTGTATCGGTAATGCAAGTCTGTAATATCGGTAATATCGGTAATGCAAGTCTGGAGAATGCGTTCAGGTTTCACATATGCATGTACAATCACTTTTTGACTCTAATGCCCTTCCCTTAGGAAAATGAAGGAAGTTCTCACAGGCTTCTAAACGAATACACTCTATCCCTGCTCTTTTCTCGAAATTAGCGATGTTCCAGCCTTCCCATTCAGTACACTAACTACTATGTACAAATGACCATTACTAATAGGAAGCGGGAAGCGACTGCGGTCGTAAGGGAATGGCAAAGCCATTGACTTCACATTCGTTATAGCATATGAATTTTATATACTTTGCTTTCTCTTTCTGTGACTCGGGTTTTACTAGTTAGCTAGTTCATCCATGTACCCTCGGATTCGGCATATGGAATTCTTCCACCAAGGATATAAACATGTATCTTCCCCAGAGGGAGAGCCACGAGCTCTTGAAGAAGCTGCACGGACGACGCAGACTATAAGACTGAATTCGGAATGTCATCCGGCGCCACCGGAGACCAGCAACAATGCAAATCCGGATATATTCAACCCCGACTCATAGTGCTTCTTTGACGTTCAAGGTTCAGGGATGAGCAGCTTTTTGACGATCAGTTAATGTGCCGTTTGACCACCAATACATGACGTTCTTGAAGGACGCTCGTTAAATGTTACAGATAAGTTTTCTTGAGCATTACTGTGCTATCCATTTGACAGCGGCTAAAAGAAAAAAAAACAAATGTTTTCACAACTGATGCTAGATGACGCTAAAATAGCTGCAGCTGAAATTAGACTCCAATACTTTCTTTGCGAGGCCCGATATTTCCCCTCACAGACACCACAGAATGAGATAATTAAATTGTTCAACAAATCCTTATTACGAGGTAACCCAGTCCAAGGAGTCTCCAGAAAACTCTAGCCCGAAGGAAGGAGGGAAGATGGTTGGATTTCCAAGGCGACTTCAATAATTAGTATACCAGGAAGCCCTATCGGGCAAACTCCCCCTGCTCCTCAGAGTTCTGTCCACTTTCCTCTTCTTTTCGCGCTCTAAGTGCAAGACCTTCCTAACACTCTTCCTGCGAAATTCAGACTTCCCAGTTCGCTGATGGCAAGGCCATTTGGTACGAGCATCGCGACCCCCGCACGGCCGAAAAAAATTCAGACTGCTCTTAAGGGATTAGAAATGTACTGTAACAACTGGCGTATAAAGGTGAATCCCGCTAAGTCGACAGCCCTCCTCTTTTGGAGGCAAGAGCGCTGCTTCATTCTGCCCTTAGGCTGCATAATGAGATTATACCGAGAGCCAACAACGTAAAATTCTTAAAACCACAATTAACGATAGTCACTCTTGGATCTCCCATATTAATGTCATCAGAAAAAAATCATAAAATAAGCTTAATTGCCTCAAAATTCCTAGCAGGTACAAATAATTGTACCTCGGAAATCATCCTGAAGCTGTATAAAGCCTACCTAAGGCCCGTCATCACAAATGCATTCGCAGCCTGGGAAAACTGTATTGATTCACAGCTAGATGAACTTTCCAGAATAGTACGTTCACCTTAATATGACTTCCGCCTCTCTAGATGGACGTGCAATGAATAGGTCTATGAATTTGTTGATTTTCATCCCCTTATTATTGCCTCCATGGTAGGGCATGATTACTATAATGCCTCTCACAGACCGCCCAGACATAACCGACTTCCGAAAACCATATTAACATAAATAGCAATCGAATCCGTCTAAGGGAAGCCCGTGTTTTCCCAATCTCTAGAATAATTGCTCGTTTGGAAGCATACAGTCAACACCACGGTCATCGATTGTCCGTCTAGACGGCTGAAATTTCCAGTGCAAGTGATGTATCTCCATACAGCAAAAAACACGAACTATGTGGGCAACAAACATAATATAGCAAAAAACACAAACAAAATTTATTGCACAAGCTATGGGGCATTTCCATTTGCTAACTCTTTTTCCACACGCATCTTTAGCTCAGAGGAGGAACTGCTCATCTGATAAATATATTAGAGAGAGAACTCTCTTATTAAATCATTCTCACTGGCACGCTAAGATCAGGATTCTATCATTCCCAGATGAGGAAAAGTAGTACTTCAAACTAGAATAATTGATCTGCGATTGCCTATAACCCTTATGACCCCTGTCACGGGAGTAGATCTGTACTTGAAAAACGAATGTAACCCCGTTGATGGTGTTTGGGAATATCCAATTTACGTCCTGGATAAACGTTCAGGGAAGGCATAATTTTCAACTCTTTGGACAGGACTCGCCCAAGTAGCACGTTCCGGTGCTACTTGGGTGAGTTCTGTAATTGTGCTACCTGTAATGTCATTCTGTTCATGTCACGTATAAAATATACTGACAAAGTAAAGACAATCCAATATTTGGAGACTATTGTGAGTTACGTTAATTCTAAGGTCGCACCGGACAAGATAGGAAGATGAAATATGGTTTAAGTGTGGGCGATTCGGGAAAAATAATGATCTCCCCGTACCAACCTCCCTTCCAAAAAAATATTCAATGCGCGAGTGGAACCTTTGGGACATGGTATACCTACGAAGTAAACATATTTTATATAGTTGCTTGAATTGAATATGTTATCTACTTGGATCATTCCATTTCCATTCTGGTTCAAGGAAGAAGATTGCAACATGCCATATTTGTCATTTGTAGAACATGAACTTGTAATTCCAAACTGAATCTCAACAATATGCCTTTG